GGGTTTGTATCCAAGAGTTTACTTGCACACCTAATCTCTTTGAGCCTTAGTTTCTTCATCTATAGTAAAACCTATCCCATGGGGTTATTGTGAAAGTTAAATGAGCTAATATCATATTCCTAACATAGAGCCTGGCATCTAATAAGCCACTATTAGTAGTATATTTCAATATTCTATGTACCCTTAGCGTAAGAACTCTATGGGATGCCTGGGTGGCTCAGTCGACTAAGCGTCTGCCTTCAGCTCAGGTCATGATCTCAGGGTCCTGAGATCAAGTCCCACATTGGGCTCCTTGCTCAGCAAGGAACCTGCTTCTCCCTCTGCCTGCAGCTCCCCTTGCTTGTGCTCTCTCTCTCTTTCTGACAAATAAATAAATAAAATCTTAAAAAAAAAAAAAAGAACTCTATGGTATTTAAGCACGAAGCCATGTATGTGTCTCTGGTGGTGTACCCTCTGCTAGATCACCTGTGATCTAATCAAGACATACATATATGTCTCAGTCTTGAAGAATACTAGTAACCCCAGCATCTGGCCTGGAACTCTTTCTCCATCAGATGACAAAGGACTCTCATTTCCAAAGAAAATCCCTCCCAGTAGAGAAAAGTGGTGATAATGTTTGAATCCTGGATTCCTCACTTGCTTGCATACATTATTCAACATCTCTAAATTTCAGAAAAATGTGGATAATAATAAAACCCACCTCATAAATTGCCAGCAAGTATAAATAAGATAATCCATGGGAAAGTACCTTGTACAGTGCCTGGCACATGGTATGAGTTTTAAAAATGCAGGTATCATCGTTATCATCAGTGTCATTGTCATGATCATTATCTTACCTAGAAAGCCTGATATTGTTCTTATTCTTTAATTAATAGTTAATTAGAAATATTTTATTTCTATTCTTTTATGTGAGCCAAGGACAGAGTTTACCTTAGAACTTCCAAAAAGAGCACACCAGATCTAGAATTCTGTGAAATTGCACCCAGTTTAAATCCTTGGCCTTAATTAATTAGAAAAAAAGTCTCTCCCCAAATTAATAACTGTCAAAGTGCAGTACAAGCTTCATCACCACCTTGTTTAAACAATATTGTGAAAGATTCAAGGCAACATATGCATTAAGACATTAAGAGAGGTCAAATGGAGCAAATCTAGGAGCTATTGCTGGTGAAAGCACAGGAGGAGGAAAGAGTGGGGAGGGAGTCTTCACCTGTCCAAAGCAGAGATTACTAATAATTGGAAAACTACAGGTGACAAGTTTCATTCATATATCAAGCTTGTTTTGAGAACCTGGTATGTGAAAGGCACTGGGGTAGAAGAGGGGGTAATTAAAAATAAATAAAAGAACTCTCAAGAAGGGGAATCATCTGCTTGGGAAGATAAAACATGCTAATGACTACAGCATGAGACAGATGTGGATAGATGTCATGAGAAAAATACAAGGGAAATTATGTGGGGATTCAAGAAAGGACTGGTTACCTATGCCCAGATTGCTAACAGCAACTCACACTCTATGCTGCCCTTCAATGACGCATCTGAACGCCCCCACCTCCTCGACAGTGGTAGGAAATCCTACCATAGGCTCCCATGGCACCTTCTACAACCTTCATTATGATTGTTAGACATCCATCCCCCCTACTCACTGGTGACAGGCAGGATAAGAGCACAGACTCTAGACCTGGAGTGCCTGGGTTCAAATCCAATTCCATCACTTTCTAATTGTGGGACATTGGTCAATTCACTTAACCATGCTCTGCCTTAGTTTCCACCTCTTTAAAATGTGGATAAAAACAGCAGCTATCTACAAGGCTGCTGTGAGCATGAAAGGAACTAATCTAAGAGTTTACAACAGGGTCTACCACATAGTCAATGCTACATACTGCCTAATGCTGCTGAGTGTCAGCTTTTATCATTGTTATCACACGGGCATGCACATATGAAGTATGGGAATGTGTGCTGAATGACTAAATAAAACATGAAAAGAAAATGTTGCACTTGAGAAGAGACCAGATTTCATAAGTCTGAAGAGCTAAATTTGGGAATATGCCCCTTGAGAAGCATTTCCTTTCACGTAGCTTAGGATTTGGATACCCTATTCCATGTCAATTCTAAAAATCAGTCATCACTGTGGGAAAATAACGTTGCAGTGTTTAATAGCTTTTGATGTTATATGAAGTAGGGAAAAAGTTTACTCCCTTTAAATGTTCTAGAAGCAAAGCAATTCATTTAAAAAGGAGCTAAAATGTCAAGGCTGGAAGAAAACCTATCAACCTTGGAGGATAAGAACTATGATTTCCAAAATGCAGTCAAAAGCAGTGCAGCCCAATAAAAACCTAGCACAAGCCTGTCCCAAATGTTCCTTTAAGTTATTTTAGTTCACTGGAAACCAGTCAGTTGCAAAGGAAGGATGGGGGTGGGGAAGGCTCACAGGGAGATATACCTGCTTCAGCTAAGATGTCCAGCTTAGGTAAAAATCTTATTCAAGTCCTAATGCACAAAACAGAGAGATTAGACTAATGTGATAAGCTTTCAGGCCTGTTTGATAATCCATTTTGTCCACAAGGCTGGGGGTCCTTCTCTATCTTTCATGCCAAACAGCATTAAAATGCAAAGCCACCAGTAGACTGTGAGGTCAACTATCTACCAGCCCACACTCAAGGTTCTTTACAATGCCTACAATTTTAGGTTGAAACCCCCAAATAAGTCTGAAACCCTCAGCAAGTAAAATGGACAGCTGTGTTGCCCACATAGCTGAGATAATGTTTACCTCTGTTTAACTATGGAAACTTTTATAAAGTCTATGAAACAGAACTTGCTCTTAAGAATACATCGTAATTCTTCTTAAGTAGTGTCCTAAATGGAACTTAAACTTTTCTCAAGGTCCAGGATTATTAATAAGCAGCTCTCTCCTGAAATGGGTCTGGAAAGTTATGACTGGCAGGAAGGGACTGTCCCAGTATGTATACACAAGCTCCTGATCTCCTTTAGTGAAGGGTACAAAGTGACTTAGCAAGTTAAGTCTCAGGGCAGAAATACAGGGCAGCATTATCTCAACTTGGGCTTTCCCTGGACCCATGGCTCTCCTTAGGACACAGGTAAAATCTTGTCAAGAGTTGAGAACAGAGCTGAATTCCTGGCATGGTACTGCTCTTTTATACCCAGGTATAATACCATCAGTTACTTCCCAAAGTCTTTACTTGGACCATCTATGCCCTTCCATTCAGTAGAATGTTTAGAAACGTTGGGCTCTCAGGCTGCTGAACCAAACTTAGCACCAGCAATGTGACATCTTTCTCTGGGAGGAGAAAGTACTGGAAGTGCCAGGTGGCCCTGCTTCCCCTTCCCTAATGTCTTAGAAAGGCTTCCCTGCCAGGGACATAATCACAAATCCATTCTCTTTCATCTATTCTAAACTTCATGCTTGAGACTTCTAATCCTCTCTGGGCTAGGAATTATAAGCTTATTAAAGAAATTTACAGAAATCAAGTCAATAGTTTCATTCAGAGTCTGAGGGCTCTTCCCATGCATTAAAATACATGCTCTTCGTAACATCTATTTGGGCTGGTTATAGGTTCTCAGATAAGATTGCTGGAAGCTGAGCTCAAGACAAGTAATATGCTACTGTGGTATTATTGCTAGAGGTTACACTGAGGGAGAATGGCATTTCTTGAGTATTTTAACATTTCATTTGCTTTGAATGCTCTTTCCCTTATACGGTTTACTCCTCAATTTGTTCAGGTCTCTGTTCACATCTAGCCTTACCTGGAAGGCATTCCCCGGCCACCCTGTATAAAATAACTCTCCACACCTGAGACCCCATTCCCTGATTTTTTTAAATTGCAGCAGTCATCAGCACTTGGCATGCTATTTGTGTATTTTCTGTCTCTTTCCATGAGAATGGCAGTCCTATGAAGTAGCTGGCTTATCTGTTTTGCACAGGTGCTCTATAAATATTTGTTGAACGAATGAGCGAAGCATGATTAAATACTTTAAATATCATGTCATTTTAATCCCCTCCATCCTTCAAGTCATGCATGTCAAGTCTTCTTACAGCTAAGGGAACTGAGGCTGGTTACTCAATATACAGAGAGCATGCCGTGGTTAAGAGCATGGACCCTCGAACCAGACTGCCTGGGTTAGAGCGCAGCTCAGTCACTGCCCCTCTCTGTGACCCTGAACAAGCCACCATACCATTCTCGACCTGAGGCTCCTCATTTGTAAATGTCATTAATAATAGCAGCATTGCCTCACAGAGTTCTTGTGAGGAGCTTATACGTATAAAGATCTTAAACAGTTCATGGCCCATAGTAGGCACTAAACCAGAGTTAAATAAATAAAATCTTAGCCTAGAAACACCTTATAAAAATTACTAACTTTCTCATTCTGATTTCTTACTTATAACCACATCCTGATCACAACCCGGCTTTCTGGTGCATCTGTCCATGAAGGAAGTGCAGCCATGGTTACTCTGGTCTGTGTGACACTTAACGTATTTCTCATCATACGTGAATTCATCTGTGAGTCTTGTTTAATATGCTAACAAAATCAGGGTTCTGAACCAACAACACCAAGGCCACAGTGTAGTTGTGTAGTTGCTCACTGACCTCCTAGCCACTTTCCCCAAACAATACCACAACTTTTAAATCAACTATCCATAACACAAGCTGTATAACTAAGGAGGAGGACATGTCCCAGCCTAAGAAATCTTTTCTCTAAACAGCAGAAAATAGAGAGAGATCACAGGCAGAAGAATATTTAGGCAAAAGGGAGTATTTCACCAAACAAATGCCTTCGCACCTGTCCACTCCAGACACTATTTCAGAATAGCATAGTAACTGTTTGTAGAAACAACCTGCTTGTCCAGGTTTCACTCGAACCTGGACATGGAATGTCTCACCTCACAAAGGGCTTTTAGCCCTCCCTTGAATGGCTGAGCCAATGGCAAAGCCATAAGCAGCCCACTGTCATTCAGCAGCTTCCCCACGGCAACTCCCTCATGTTACCTTGCCCTGATGATCGTGTTTCATCTCCCAGCCCCTTGGCAGCTCCAACTGTTTGTTGGCGAACATGTTGAGGAATCCCACAAGATCTCGGTTATGCTGGTAGCGTTCAAAGTGGTGGGTGTCCCGCCGGACTTTGGTGATCATGTGCTTCAAACACGTATTGTTTGTAAACATGCGGTAGGCACTCTGGAGGAAAGAATAGAGAGCCCACATTAACCTGCTTGGGACCCGCAACAGCAACGTGCTTACCATGCAACATAAGGCATATATAGTCTTCCAGTGGGCATAGAAGCTTCAACGTAATTCTAGACTCACACATGGAAACAGCAGGCTGAGCACAATATTTTGATCAAAATAAAACAGCAAGACTACAGAAAGTAAGGAACCTTCATGGATGATGTTTAGTTTCCTAAAGAACAAGAATGCTTCTGTAGAATCTCATTCTACAGGGGATGTTAGATCCTAAAGGTGGTCTTAGGCAAAAACCACATAGTCATGGTCACACCATGTCAGATACAAATATACCACCTCACAGTGAGCCCCAACATAGCCAATTTTTCCTCCAGCACTAGAAAAGATGATTGGTCTTTGGGTGAGTGCCAGATGAAGCAGTTGGCATACATTTGCAGCCAAGTTGTATGGAAAAATGCTTGGCCATATATTTGAATATCAGGAGTATATGCAATGGGCTGAGTTGCTCTCACTGAGAGTCAAATTCAACTGAGACCACAGTAGATAAAGGTTTTTCATCTTATACCTTCTTCGAGGCATAATCTCAGTGAATGGAATGGCAGGCAGTATACGTATTTTTTTCTTTATTTTTTCTGTGTGTGTGTATATGGCTGAATTTATACAGCTGAAATGCACACTTAATAAAATCCCACTGTACAACCACACAAAAAAGTGATTGCCTTGTAAAAAATGCTATAGTCTTCATCTCTATGATACTTAAACGAGATTCCAAAAATTAGGCGTAAGCCATGAGCAATCCACATATAAGTCAGTCAACAAATACTCATTGCATAATATCATGTGCCAAGAAGTAAAAAAGGAATAACTGTATGGAGCTATTTCCCTGCATTCTGAGAAGGAATATGATATTCATGAAATTGACAAGGTTGTGAATGATCTATTCCAGAATTCTATTCTTCTCAGATAGATTCAAAGGATTCTTCTTACCTTTAGTATCCCAGAGCCACTAGATTGCGTCTGGAGGCCTTCAGGCTTTACTTCATGGGTTCTGTTATTTGTTCAGTCTAAGATAAACCAAAGCAAACCCAAAAGAAACCAGAATCCCTGGAAATAATTTCATTTTAATGAACATTTACTGTCTTTGCTATGCTGTGGTAGTTATTGAGGATAAAAGATAAATGAGTATGAGGACAGTTAACATTGTTCCTCTCTGTCCAGTATTCCTCAAGATGTGTCATGTTCTGGCCAAAGCATTTATTGATGATGGGAGTCCTTCTAGAGCTTTCTTCCCTTTGGCACAGTTATCACAGCAACTGGTGATGTTTGAAATGGTTGCTCCCCAGTCTGGGTCCCTGGGTCCCTGAGTAACTACAGGGATCAGAGAACCCTGATGACCCAATTTGGGATGAGAAACAAAGCTTTGTCAACTTAAGCCACCAAGATTTGTTAGTTTCTGTTATTGACACATAGCCTAAACTTTATAACTTTTATATAGTTTTTGATTGATTCCATCATTATATACTTTTTACTAAAATATTTTTGTCCTATCAAAACAAAAGGAAGAAAGGAAGTAAGAGAGGGAAGGAGGGAGGAGGGAGGAGGAAGGAAGGAAGGAAGGAAGGAAGGCAGGCCACACTGAACTATCCTCAAATACTAGTGCACTAATTCCTTAGTACACCTGAGAATAAAATACTTTGAGGTTGTATTTCAACCTGACAGTCTAAATGAGAGGAGGTTTTGATGGTTGCGAGAAATGGTGAAATTCAGAGCACCGTGAACTCCCAAAGCAGGCGAGCCTACACAGGGGCTCCAGGCAATTAGAGAGCACGAGAGAGTAAGAAAGTGATACCATGAAAACAGAGAAGGAGACCAATAAAAGAAGTTGCAGGTTGTCAGAGACGAACGTTAGCTAACTAACAGTTTAGCCTGTGGCTGACCCTGCCTTGGTGTTTTATGCACAATCAGCAAGGCAACTGTTTTTTGCATTTGGCTCCGTGCTGCTTATGTATTTTCAAAGAAGCCATTGCAAGCTTAGAGGCCTGAGACCACACTAGGTCGAGTGGCAGTGGCAATGAGCTTTCAAGTCATACTCCCTAATCAGTCTCTTAGGGACATGTTATTGTGGGATAATTCTGTCAGATAAATCATTATATTAACTGTTGGTCTAAGTGGGTATATCTCTTGGCCCCCCTGATTTCTTCCTTCCCCCATTAATCTAAGTAAATAGGCCACATCCTGATTCTTTATCTGGAGCACCAGAAATGCTCCTCTTTCAGCTAAAGAGAAGAAGGAGAACTTCATTAGGGCAAGAAGTAGTAATTAGGTGAAGGAACCTGTCCCAGCCCCAGGCGTGAAGTAATTCTCTGGGGTTGCACAGCTCTTTACGTTCAGGAGTCTTAAGGCCAGTCTTATAATTAATTACGTCCTTTCATTTTCCTCCTCTCCTCTCGGTAAGACATGTAACGTAGTGCCAAGTTCGAGTGATCTGTGAAAAAAGCATCTACCAAAGTAAAGTAAGTGCAAGAAAGATTTCTTATCAGTAACTAGCAAACGATCTTTGGAACCATAGCTTTTTCAAGTCTGACCAACATGCACAAGACGGTAAGTGTCCATATAAAACCCTACGGCAAATGGAAACATCCCTTCAGACTGCTAGATTTTTATAAGGCAATTATATATATATAGTTTTGTGACATTTATACACATATGTATGTTTATATATGTTTATATACATATGTTTATTCTATTTTTGTTTTTAAATATATACTATTTTTGAATATATATTTATATATGTAACTATATATGTGTGCATGTATATATAAATATAAATATATACATGTATTTCAGAAAGAATATTTATACTCCAGTTCATATGGAACCTTTCTAGTCACAGCCCTGTCACTCATGGACAAAGAAAATCATTTAATCTCTGCCTCAGAGATTAAATCTTTGCTCAACTGTAAAGTGGAATAAGAGTAACTGCCCTGCTTTCTTCATAGGCATGTGAGAGTCAAGCCCAATGAAACAAAGGATGTAAAACTGCTTTGAAGAGGTAAAAATCACTATAAAAATACAGAGTAGAAGTAAGTAAAGGAATATATGAGGGATTATACCTACCATACCTATGTTATAACAGATGAATGATAGCAGTAAAATTGTTTTCTACTTTTTAGGTCTTTGAAGATCATGGGCCAGCATCCCACTTACTATTAACTAAAGAAGGTTTTCATAACCTTTCATTAATTATGTCCTAAGCCCTGTGCTAGGCCCCGAGGATACAGAGATGAGCAGACGTCCATCATTCAAAAGGATGGGAAGGAACATTGTAGGGAAAGGTGGGAGGAAGAGTTTCCCTGGAGGCAGAAAGCAGAGTTTGGAAATCAAAGGGCACGGTAGCAGTGAAAATACTGAAACACAGAGAGAACTAGCAGAGCAAAGAATGAGAGGGATCCCAGCACTCGAGAAACACTCAACAGGTAGGATTCGACTACAAGAGCTTCATCTTCTGGGAAGCAGATACCGACAAAGCTGTGGGAGAAGAGAAAAGGGGCATTTCGTTCTCCCTTGGTGGTTCTGTAGTTCTCACCCGGTGAGAGTCTTTTCTGCGTTTGGGTTGTTGTTTTGTTTTGGTCTTAGAGAAAAAGATGCAGTAAACGGATGTGACTTTCTACCTGAAGCCAAAGTAGATCAGGAAAGAACAAACAGGCCCTATTTCATCCCATGATGAAGTCTCATGGTAATGCACAGAATGATCTCGTCTGGGAAGCGGCTGCATATGGAGTCACCCGCAGTACTGGGAGAGCTGGGAACTGTTCCACTAGATGGAACGCCTTTAAATGGTCTCTCCTGTGATTTAAAAGGTCCCCTTTAGTTACTGCTTCTCTACTCCAAAACTCCTTTCCTAACCTTATCCTCGGTTGTTTCCTGTTTTCCATGCAAGAACCTCATGGTTGAGTGAATGATCAGCTGAACTTCTTTAGTGGAATTCTGTTAAAATAACATTCGTTTGAGCTTAATGTGTTTTGTTTGGTTGAATGCTTTGAGGTGTTAGAAATGAAAAATATTGAGAGGAGTTGAGGGGAATGTTATTGCCATTTGGCAGCAGAATAAGAACATTATGTAAATATTCATTTCTTATCAATCAACCACAGTGCAAATAATAATCCTTTTTTCTTTTTCCTGGCATCTTTCTTTCTTTTCTTCTTTCTTTCTCACTCATTTTCTTTTTCTTCCTTCCTTCC